AAAACTGATGTCTAGTATTCACTCTCTCCCTCGCTAGCCATCCGGTGTATCATCTTCCACAACGGCTCGATGTATTTGGACAGCTGTCTGACCTTCTCCCGGTAAGCTGCCACCTCCCCCGGGGGAGGCTACACCTCTAATAGGAATAAATAAACAAACTGATGTCTAGTATTCACTCTCTCCCTCGCTAGCCATCCGGTGTATCATCTTCCACAACGGCTCGATGTATTTGGACAGCTGTCTGACCTTCTCCCGGTAACCTGCCTTCTCCCCCCGTTAAGGGAAGTCGAAGGAGACGCCATAACCATGACGGGTGTCTTATGACGTCCCCTTTGTCTATGAAAATAAAGTAATATTCTAGTACTCACTCTCCCCCTCGCTAGCCATCCGATGTATCATCTTCCTTAACGGCTCGATGTATTTCGACAGCTGTCTGACCTTCTCCCGGTAAGCTGCCTCCTCCCCCCCTGGGGAAGCCACGCCTGCCCCTACGGGTGTGTTTAGGGAAGATGAAGGGGACGCCACCATGCCCATGCCTACGCCTCTGTGGAGAGAAAGGATTATTAATGTATGCCCTTCTTATACAGGTGTGGCGACACCGACGATACGCCACTACAAACTGTGTACCAACAGATGGCGCTGTCACTACTACCCTATGGCACACTCCGCCGCTCATACAAACCTGCATCGCGGTGACAGAGTTTTATATCCTGCCAAGTATATATAGACAAACCAAGATGGTGTAAATTGGACCTTGGTCCCCGATAGGGCTTGAATACCGGAATTCCGGAATTTCGTAACTCCGGAATTTCGGATACATTTTTTCCGATATTTCAATTCCGGAATTGAAGCTAATATCGTATTCCGATATTTCAATTTTTCATAAATTATTTTAAGTTTTCAAAACGTTTAAGTATCAAAATAGGTTCTTAGATAAGGAAGTCCTTGAGATATGTATTCGCAACTTTATTAGTTATAATATTAAGAGGCAATAGGGCGAGACCAAAGCTCCAAAATGTTCGCTAGAGACAACTCTAATGGGCGAAGTCAGCTGAAGAGAGCGGATGATAGAGTAAAACCTGTTAATAGCTCAGCCACAGGACAGCCACTCGACACTATACCGAAGATTAGCCGGACATCAGCCCTTAGGCCCGGTTCCCACTATGCCGGACCGGCATTTCTGCCGGTCCGGTAAAATCGCCGGAAGGCCTAGCGGCGGTACAAATTGTATGAAGCTGTTCACATTAACCCGGATTCGGCATTTTTACCGAGCGTTTTGTCGTTACAAAATCCGGCAAAATCACCGGACGGGAGTAATGTGAACGAGTTGCGGCCCACCCCGCCGCGCCCGCGCTTCCCGCCCCGCCCCGCCCGTGCTCCCCGCACTTCATTCGGCTCGCATTTTCTGAGTAAAGAGACGTGTACCATGGACGACATTCAAATAGAAACTTTAATAACGCTTGTCCAAGAGAGACCTGTTCTGTGGGACAAGACCGATGATATTTATAAAAACAAGAACTTGAAGTTAACAGCATGGCGTGAAGTATGTTTAATACTTAAACCAAACTTCGACGAACTAAACGAAAAAGAAAGAAAACTTTTTTTTATTGATAAAAATGCATTCACAAAACCACCACAACACAACAATTTCGTCGTCCATTGTGGGCACAGGTCCAAATTCAATGAGATTTGACGGTGAGAATTCTTGTGAACCCGGCCTCCGGGCCCCCGGATCCGGTGATCCGGTGTAGTGTGAACACCCTTGTCCGGTGTCCGGTATCCGGCAGAAATGCCGGTCCGGCATAGTGGGAACCGGGCCTTACGTGATTAGGATGGCTCTCAAACAGCTAAAGAACAACAAGGCACCGGGTGATGACGGAATAACCTCGGCGCTTCTGAACGCGGAAGGTGATAAGCCGATACTGAAAGTCCTTCATAGACTGTAACTCCGTCTTACTCCAAGGAATAATGCCAGAGGCACGGAACAAATGCTTGGTGGTGTTTTTCTTTAAGAAAGGAGTAAAAGCCTTATTAAGGAATTACAGACCCATCTGGGTTCTGACTCTGAGTCATGTCTACAAGCTGTTTTTGAGAGCCATCACGAATAGTCTCGCGCGTAGGTTCGATGACTTATAGTCTCTCGAGGAAGCCAGTTATGGAAACGTTTACACTACCATATACCGCATCTATACGCTACGGCAGGTTATACAGAAGACCGAAGAGTTTAACTTGCCTACATGATTGGCGTTCTTAGACTATGAGAAGGTCTTTGAGCCTGACTGAACACGAGGGCGATTCCTCTGCAGCGAGCTGTGAGGCAGGGAGATGTAATAATACGTCGAATTCAACTCGGCTGGGCAGCGTTCGGGAAACTACATAACATCTTTTCAACCAAAACACTTCAGTGCCTAAAGACGAAAGTCTACAATCAGTGTGTGTTACCAGTAGTGATGACACACGGTTCGGAAACGTGGCCTCTTACTATAAGGCCTTATAATAAGCTCAAAGTTGCACACCATGGTATGGAGAGTGCTATGCTCGGTGTTTCTTTTCGAGATCGAACCAGAAATGAGGAGATTCGTAAACGAACTAATGTTGCCTGACATATAGCGATCGGATTACCAAGCTAAAGCAAAAGTGGCAATGGGCAGGGCACATAGTACGTAGAACAGACGGCCGATGGGGCAAGGTTCTAAAGTGGAGGCCACATACGTGTACGTGTTTGTCGGGAGGCGCTTTCTTTTTTTTACTAACTCCGGAACTAGAACCGGAATTCCGGAGTTGAGTGCCCAATATCGGAAATCAGTTCCGGAGTTGAAAACTATCCGATATTGCAAGCCCTAGTCCCCGAGCACAACACCCGCTCGGAAGGAAGCACTAACACCTCAGCTTCCTTAATGTGGTTGAGCATCATATCCCACACAGGGTTACTAGTAAAACACCAGCAACCTCGCAGGACCAGATAGCTGATATCATCTGCTGATAAACTGATATCAAGATCGCTTGTTGTAGATATCTTTGGGCCTTTGTCCAGCAGCGCACGAAATCGTCTTGAAACCCAGGCCTTTTCGTTCTTTCGAGGGTGACAATCTAGTCTTCTCATAGTTCTGTGGACTGTGGGGACGGGTGGTGTTACCAGGTGCGGCTGCGAGTCGATCTTTCATAGTTACAATATTATCTAGAACCCCACCCCAACATAAGTAACACTAATGCCCGTTTTCATCATCAATCCCTAATTTTTAAGTGATCTCTATGGTAACACAATACATGAATTTTGTTTTCATAGGGGTCACTTAAAAATTAGGGATTGATGGTGAAAATGGGCATTAGACGGTGTTAATTACACCGTCTAAAGCCCGGTCTCTGAGCACGTAGAAATTGTCCAATGACCCTAAGCTACTCATCCTTATCGCTCGCGCGTAATTATGTTGCTATCGCGCTCGCACACTCACTGCGGGCGCCCGTCGCACAGTCGCGTCAGCAACATAATTACGCGCGAGCGATAAGGATGGGTAGCTTGGGGTCATTGGACAAAATTCTACGTGCTCACAGACCGGGCTTTAGCTACCTTTGTGGCGGCGCGTGGTGCTGCAGATGCGTCTTCGGCGCCGAGGGCGAAGGGCTGCCGCCGCACGCGCCCAGCGCGCCCAGCCCCCTACCAGAGTAAATACAAATGAGTAGGTCATCTTCATAGAAACGCACCGAGCGCGGTTTGTATGTGAGCGCGCCAATACGTATGCAGCGCGCAAGCACACACTGACAAAATTTAGCGTTGATTAGCGGTGAGTTGCCCCGAATTTTGTCAGTGTGTGCGTGCGCGCCGCATACGTGTTGTCGCGCTCACATACAAACCGCGACCGTGCGTTTCTATGAAGATGACTTACTCATTTGTATTTACTCTGCCCCTACCCCCGGCCCGCGTACCAGGCCTGTTCATCTCCGCGAGTTTGCATCGAAAACAAAACACACGCGACTACACCTCCTGCGATACCTAATCGACAGGACAGCACACTCACTCCGGGCGCCCGTCGCACAGTCGCGACAGCAATATAATTACGCGCGAGCGATAAGGATGGGTAGCTTGGGGTCATTGGACAAAATTCTACGTGCTCACAGACCAGGCTTTAGCTACCTTTGCGGCGGCGCGTGGTGCTGTAGATGCGTCTGCGGCGCCGAGGGCGAAGGGCTGTCACAACACGCGCCCAGCGCACCCAGCCCCCTACCAGAGTAAATACAAATGAGTAGGTCATCTTCATAGAAACGCACTGAGCGCGGTTTGTATGTGAGCTGATAAAATTAGGCGCAACCACGACTGGCTCCCCGCTAAATTTTGTCAGTGTGTGCGCGCTGCATACGTGTTGGCGCGCTCACATACAAACCGCGCCCGTGCGTTTCTATGAAGATAACCTACTCATTTGTATTTACTCTGGGGTTGTACTGAGGAATACATAATTTACGATTCATCGTCTAGCTACCTTTGTGGCGGCGCGTGGTGCTGCAGATGCGTCTGCGGCGCCGAGGGCGAAGGGCTGCCGCCACACGCGCCCAGCGCGCCCAGCCCCGACAAAGGAGACGGCATCGGCCCGCCACCGCCCACGCCCACGCCTGAACCGCCCATCACGCCTGCAGACATGAATCTTAGTTAAACCGACTGATGACGACATTGGAAGCAAAATGTGCCCACTGTGGCGAAAAACTCAACGAAGATTTATCAGCTATCGACGATTTTGCGACTGTATCTATATTTCGCCCATCACGCCTGTAAACATCACAAGTGTAATTAAAACTTGTGAGGTGTTTTGAAACGTACTATCGGGGACTCTTCCGCCTGACCACTTTGTAGAAATTTTAGCGTAAACGCATCGCTCCGGTCACGTGCTCACCCCGTCTCTAATTGGTTACGCATTTTACTATATTTTTACTACGACCAATAAGAGACAATCAGGGCTTAGGTTGCAATACGAAATACCATTGTGCACTTTATTGTCATACGGTTAAGGTTTAAAACGAAATGTTTCTTTTTCTTCAATCTTTCTTAGTTTTAGGCTGAGTTGCGCCACCTAACTTTGACCGTAGCTATAACGGTAACCGGTGCTTTTTGTATGGAGTTTAACAGATTTTTGACGTTTGTCAAAGTTAAAGTAAGATGGTGCAACTCAGCTTTAGAATTTTAATAATAGAATTTGGTTACAAACAAATAGATAATATGTTTTTTTTTAATATTGTATTTTTATACGAGGTCTGTCTGCTTTTTGCTTTGGCGAACTGTCGACATATTCTCTCCTTTGTTTTTTGTGCAGTTTTGTGATCCCTAACCGATTGATTTTGTTTTGTGTTGACCCGTGCTAGTAATTGGACTGTTTGATTGCCTTTTTATTGACCTCCGCGCGATTACTGAATCATGGCCTCTCAAAATAATTCTTAATTATTCTTATATTTAATTACAAACTTATCTATCTATACATTGTTAACTGTTTAAGTATTATTTAGTTTGAAGTTTAATTTTTATTGATTTAAAACCTTGTGTAAAGACACTTAATGTGCAATAAAAAAATAATTTGAAATAAAACTAACTTAATATTATAATANATGCAAACATACACTGGCATTAATTGGTTATAAGGTTATATGTATAGACGTAGTGAAGATCCCGCTTGTACCGAAGTAGCGTGCTATTGGAGGAAACCAAAACTGTTGTGCAAGTTGGATCTCAGCTAAAATTTATTAAAGTCAAAGATGTGAACTATACAAGGCAGTATCAAAAATATATGTGTCAGTAGTACTACCACCATAACCATCTGACACAAAGATCAGTCCATCGGGCTTGATGATTTTTTTTGTTCACTTTAAAAAGTTATTAGTATACACTTTGTAACTTTCTATGGAATCGGTGTACGATCATGAATCGGCAGTAAGGTACAGTCTGTTTTGTCACAGTTAAAACTGGTTTCTAACTCTATCGAGGGTCGTCAACGTTTATTCGATTAAGGACTTTGAGCATTGTGCCGAGGTCTTCCAGCAACTCTGCCATGAGTGCCATGACCACAATATCGTCAGCAACGGTAGCGATAATTAATATGGCACCGCTGGAGAGACTGCAGCACTGCCCAAGTTTCGATCGAATCGAAGGCCACACACGCACCACGCACCTACAAGGTGGACCGACGACCTGATAAAGATAGCAGGGAGGCGCTGGATGCAGGCCTCTACCAACTGTGCGATATTATGTGGAAGTTATTGAAGGAGGCTATGTTCAGCAGTGGACGTCCTGTGGCTGAGATGACGATGATGATGACGATAACTCTATTCTAGAGTATTATTATCTCTTTGACTTCTACAGGCGGATTGTCACAAGAATGAAAAGTATGTGTTAATACATTTTGTTCGTTTAGATTTTTATCGATAACTTAAAGAAGCGACAACATTATTTTACCACCATAAAACATAGTCAATAACAAGGGCTAAAGTAGGTAGAGAGTTTTTAGTATTGTCTTATTGTCTTTAAAGTTTCAAAGGATTCAATTTACTTTTTTTTTATTCAAGTAACCCATCTGCGTGCGTGCCTCGTGTTTTGTTTCTCTATTTTTTGTCTACTGTTTCAAATAAAATGTCACTAAAATACTTTATAAAAAATTTGCAATGAAAAATATACAATGGTAGGTGTTTTGTCTTTAGGTAGGTACTCGCATTAAAATGATCTTTGCAATAATATCGACTGGTTTTTGTAGATAACGCTTTCTCCCTTTTCTTTAACTTACACCATTTATGTATTTATCAG